GCTTTATAATTGGGACTTTTTGTCTTTGGAATGAATCAACAGAAACCTTCATCTGAGAGCCTGGGGGCAGGAACAACATTCAAATCATGGTATTTGGTTTTCTTACATCTCCCTTTGCATATCATGTATCCATTTAAATCCAAAAAATTTATATGACTTTGATCAAGGTACTCAATTATTCTGGGCCTCGATTTCCACATCCATAAAATGTCTCTCATAGTGTACCCACTTTGTGAATTTTTTTTTAATCCTCACCTGAGGAAATTTTTTCCATTGCTTTTCAGAGAGAGTGGAAGGGAGAGAAAGAGAGAGAAAAAAAACATCGATGTGAGAGAGACATCGACTGGTGCCTCCTGCACGCATGCACCCCTACCAGGGCCAGGGATCAAACCTACAACTGAGGCATGTGCCCCAGACCAAAATCAAACCCAGGAACCTTCAATCCGAGGGCCAACGCTCTAACCACTGAGCAAAACTGGCTAGGGCCCCACCTTGTGAAATTTTTATGAGATAATGAATGCACAGAACTTAAAACAGTACCTGGTATATAGTAACATCAATATTACTCTTTCTATGGTCAAGACTGTTGTCTTCTTGAGAAAAAAATAGGTCCCCATGCCTGTATCTGTGTAACAGAGAGTTAATCATCTGTTTCTAGTATACTAAATAACTAGATATAGTAATAGCTTGTGATGATGACGAAAGAAGACATATCTTAAGGTCCTTAAAGGATTTGTTGAGGAAAGAAGACTGATGAAAAGAAGAAACCTTGGAAGTTACCAGACAAGGGTTTGAACTTTTTCTAGACTACTAACTCATTGTATGACCTTCAGCTGTCTTATTAATTTTCCTTCATCTTAAAATTCAGATAATAAAAAAAAAAAATGTCTACCGCATAGATTTCTTGGAAAGGTTAACTGAGATAAGCCAAATATCTATATTCAACTGACAATACAGACTAGCTCTGTTCTTGGTACTAGGCATGAATTTATTTCCACAAACATTAATCAAAAGTCAGAGTACAGAAACAACAGTTAGAGAAGATAACTTATAGGGTTTGCTGGCTACCCACTCTCCCAGATATTAAAAGATTTACTCCCAACCAAGCTAGATCACCAGAGAAATACATACCTAAACTAAATCTTATTGTTCTGCCCACAGAAAGCTCATTATCAAATTACATGATAGCGTGAGGGCAGCCGACCATACTGATGGACCTTAGAAGAAAAAACTCTATAAACCTTGTTATTTGCATTATACAGAGGCTGCCAAAGACATTTTTTATTACCTCTACAATGAGCTCTTAATAAAATCCTCCAGGAGAAATCCCTACTTGGACTTAGGACTAAAATCGGTAGCACTTGTCCTGTGTATTGGAAGCTGAAGGCAAATTATAGATTTACTGTTTAGAGTCAGTGAAACAGGCCAAGAATGCATTTCTACATTATTCAAAACCATTTATTGAGCACCTACTATGTGCTAGACTCTCCACTAGGATTTACAAATGCAGTGATAGACAGGTAATATCTCTTCACAAACCTGTAAACTAGTGGAAAGGAACAGATTATCAAACAATTATAATACAAAGCAATGACATAGAATGAGCCAGAAATAAGTGCTGGGTAACTAGATAAGAGCTACCACCTCCCTGGGTGGACATGGAGGTGAAAATAAGGCAAAGCTTGGACCAGGAGAAGAACTGAAGTCCCTAGAAGGAAAATACACACTTCTGGGGAAATCAGGACAAAAAAAAACACACAAGTCAGGAAAAGAGTAGAAATAGGCGGATGGATAAAGATAACAAGAACATAAGACTCTCTATGTATCTCCTACCATGACCAGAACCAATCTATTTATATAACTTACATCAGTCTAATAGTGTACATAAGTAGAATTATATTGTGCAGAGTGCTCATAGCTATATTTAAATAATTTTATAAACCCTTGAAGAAATTGGCCTTATTTTATAACTCCAAATAACTAAATCAGAGAAGGTATCAAAGAAAAAACAAAGAAAGATTGGGTCCTGTTTGAGATACAACCTTAGATATTTAATGCATCACACTGAGAGTCACATCCATATAACCTTGTTGGTTTCTTTCCATCATCACTTACTTCTGAAAGGAGAGAGGACCAGGCTATGTTGGGATTATAAACCCTTCCTTCAAACTGAATGCAACTGCCTTCTTTATCCCTAAAGATGCTGGATATTCAGACAGAGAATTAAATATGTAAGTGAAATTCTGGTATCAAAAAGTTTAACTAGGTTGTCAGGAGACCTGGGTTTTAGTCCTAGTCTGTCACATAAAGAAGTGCTATGTGAGGCTTGGAGGCTGTGTGAGTAACTCGATGAACCTGGCACCTCATGTACTTAGTGTAGTAATAGAAACAGCCAATATTTATTGGAAGTTCACTGTGTGGCAAGCACTGGTCCCACGTGTTTTCTATGTATTAGCTAACAATAACATCATGAGGTAGGTATTGTCATTTACAGCTGAGGAGGCTGAGGTGCCATAACATTTCCAGGTCACATGGCTTGTAAATTCAAACACAAGCAGTCCAGTTCCAGAGCCCAAGTCCCTACCCACTACTTTATTCCCTCAACGTCCATCCAGGAACATCCCAGGGAAGCTCAAAGGACATATCAGAGTGCTGTGCCTCAGGATATATTCCAGAGTTCACCTTCTCGGGCTCCTATGATGACATAAAAATGAAGGGCATTATAACATAACAGGGGTGACCCTAGGTCCTGCTTTGCCCAGGACAGCCTCAGTGTATGCCTGTTGTCTCAGTGCCCACCCAAACCTTCTCTTACTCCAAGGTGTTCCAGTTTGAATAATACGTAATACAGTCACCTAAGCCCAGTGATTAAGAGCTTATGTTCTAGCCCGGCCGGGCGTGGCTCAGCGGTTGAGCATGACCTAGGATCCAGGCGATCGGGGTTCGATTCCCGGTCAGGGCACATGCCCGGGTTGCGGGCTAGGCAGCCGATCAATGACTCTCTCATCATTGATGTTTCTCTCTCTCTCTCCCTCTCCTTTCCTCTCTCTGAAATCAATAAAGATATATTTTAAAAAGAGCTTATGTTCTAAAGTTTGCTGGGCCCAGACTTGAAACGTAGCTTAACAATTAACATTAGCTGTGGGAGTCAACTACTTTGTCAAAATAAGTCTCAATTTTCTCATCGACTAAATGGAAATAATAATAGTATCCACCTTACAGCATTGTGGTGAGAGCCATATGAGCCAATGCATGTATGAGCTATATCAGTCAGTTAGTATAGTGCTTACTAAACAGTGAACACCCAATGTGAATTAGCGTTTACCAATACTCAATTAAAACTTTGAGAGGCTATCTCACATTGGCATAATCATGGTGGACTGCTTTGTGAACTTGAGACGTTACAACATACCTATGAATCTGAAGCACTTAGACATGAACCAGGATAAGTAAGGAATGCCATATCTTTCTAAGTAAATCACTGGTACTAGTACTGGTTCTAAAATTAAATTATAATCCTAAAGCCATTGAAATCCAGTTCAGTTCTCTGCCACTCCCAAGAGTTTTAATCCAATCCAGTCCAGACTCCATAGGAATCTCACTAAAACAGTAAATTTCATGGTGACAGGGAATAAGGGGAAATCCTCTGAGTTTATCGCCATCTCTTTAGAGTCCTTTTTAGCCTCTTGGGCCAGCATGGATTCACAGTGGCAACTTCTGGGATTCTTCCACTTTTAAACACAAGCCATTGACCATCCAACTCTGCATTCAAACCTTGGAAGAGCCTCAAGACTCAGAGAATATCCTTTATATGGCCAGAGCATGGCCACAGACCAGCCCCTTTGCCTGCAATGGAAGTGACTGGCTACATACTCAGAACCTGCCAAAATGTTTGTCACCTGAGGGGTTCTTGGAAATGAGGCTCAATAAACCATAGTCATGAACTTGAAAAAACTATACGGCTAACTAGCATATATAGAGAGCAAATCACCTATTTTTGTCTCATTTTCTTTGTTAAACAAAGGGGTTAAGTCTATTGTGAAAAATCAAGGGGTTGAATTTAATATGGTCTATCTCTGGGCTTCTTAAAAAGATTCTATCTGCTAAAGAAAGATAACCCACTTTCCCCTTACTTTTTTTTTTTAAACATATCTTTATTGATTTCAGAGAGAGGAAAGGAGGAAGAGAGAGAGAGAGATAGAAACATCAATGATGAGAGAGTCATTGATCGGCTGCAGCCCGCAACCCGGGCATGGGCCCTGACCGGGAATCGAACCCCGATCGCCTGGATCCTAGGTCGATGCTCAACCGCTGAGCCATGCCCGGCCGGGACCCCCTTACTTTTTTTTAAATATATCTTTATTGAGTTTTAGAGAGTGGAAGGGAGAGGTAGAGAGAGAGAGATAGAAAGAAGCATCACTGATGAGAGAGTCATCGATCAGCTGCCTCCTGCACACCCCTGACTGGGGATCGAGCCCGCAACCAGGGCATGTGCCCTGACCAGGAATCGAACCCCAGTCTCCTGGATCCCAGGTCGATGCTCAACCACTGAGCCACGTCCGGCCGGGCTCCCCCTTACTTTTAAAAACCAAATGAACAAAGTTTTACTTACTTCCATAGTAACCTATCTAATAATATGGCTGACAGCAAGCTCTTTGCCTCCACCTGGCTCCCTCTCCTCATCCTGCAAATTGCCATCGGCTTTAATTAGATTTAATAAGCCACTGGGAAGTGCAGTAAAGGAAACGGGGAGCAAAGTTGACACAGTGTAGGCTTACTCTTGCATGTTGAGTACAGCATTTCCCTGGAACACTCATATCCCAGAGCTGGGAAAACGAAGACTGCCAAGCGTATGGAAAGACACGCTGCTGCTGTTGCTGCTGCTGGCCAAATGTGAAACGTGGGTGGAGAAAATCATTTAGAAAAAGAGAGTGAGGGAAAAGAGAAAATCAGCCCCAATCCCCAACAGCTGCAGAAAATGAAGCATGTGAAGCTGTTACCTTGGATGAACTCTGATTGCCTGCTCACAGAAGGCAGGGTCCTGTTGAGCCCCAGGATCCTGTCCAAGTGGAAGGCAAATACCTCGCTCATGTCCAAAGGCTGCTTGAGCAGCCCACAGGGGCTACGGTCACAGGCAGGCCCGGAGCCAGCGGTGCTCCCCTCCAGCAGCAGCAAGCGCGCTTGGTTCTTAGAGGACACTGGCTGAAAGCCCGCCACCGCACCGTCGGCCAGCAGGCGCATCCTGCGGATGTCTTCTTTGCTCAGCCACGAGGGGGCGCGCTCGCTGTAGATCCTGATGTTGCTCTCCCCGGCCTGGGGCAGCTGGAAATCTGAGCCCCCAACTTGCGCTCCCGGACCGGGTATCCATCTCCAGGGTCTTTCCCCACCCTTGGCCAGGTGTCCTCTCTGGATGTTCTCAGGCTCTTCGGCATCAGCTGCCCTGGCAGCTCCCCGCGGCTGAAGAGATGGTCCGCGCAGGGCCTCCTGCTCCGGGGCCGGGGATGCCCCTGCATACTTCTTCCTGCGCTTCGGCCTCACCGTGCCACGGATATTGGCGGGCTTGCTTCGCTTGGAGCGCAGGGTAATGTACACCACATTGGGCAGCAGGGTGGCTCCATTGTCCTGGGGCTCGGGAGGGGCCAGGGTACCGTCCAAGGGTATGTCAGGGTAGGGGCCCTCGGCGCTGTCTCGGCTCTGGCGCGCCCCCTTCTCGCGCGCCTGCCGGTGCGGGGGCGACGCGCGCCCCACCTGGCTCACCAGGAAGCCCAGGTAGATGGCGCAGGCCGTGCCCAGCAGCAGGTTCCTCCGCGTCCTGGGCCGCCGGCTGCTCCAGAGGTTACGCACCCGCGGGACGCACAGGGAGCAGACGAACCAGCTCATGAGCTGCCCTGGCTTGTCTGGACAGGTCATTTCTCGGCCGCATCCACATGTTGAACAGGGTTTAAAGTCTGTGGTTGTCTCCTGATGACATGGTGCATAGTTTCCTGAATTCAGCTGTCGCCCCCGCTTAGGTGTCCAAGTGGCCTCCAGTGGGTAGGGCAGAGATGGAAGTGAAGGGCTGGGAGTGGAGTTGGCAGTGTTTGTGACACTCGCCACGACAAGCGTCTTAAACTCCTATCAGCCTCCCCAAGGAGAAGTGCGGCTTGTTTCTGGGAATGAATGGACACAGAGTTAACTGAGTCACAGGCTCTTACTAGTTCAGTTCCTCCACAAGAAGAACGAAAAAAGTAACTCTTTCCTTTCATTACTATCCCCCCTGAATGTTTTTAAATGAAGTTTAAAAAACAGAAACAAGATAGATGTATAGATTTGGTATTCAGTTTAAACTAGTGAGAACAAACCACAAAAATCCAAGAATATTTTATAACATGTAGCTGGAGTCATTTAATTCTGAAGGAAAAGCATTAAAATTTGATAAATCCCGGCTTTTCCTTTTTGAAATTCAGAAATAATTAAAAATAAATAATAGGTGGTTTTTAAAAATCTATAGCTACTCCATATTTATTTTTTAAATCCTGCACTAATTAGTTAACTAAATAACTAACACTCACACTCAAAAATACATTCTCTTAATCTAGCAGTACAATGTTTTCTTCATAATGTGTTCCATTATCTTACATTAACAGTTAATATAATATAAAGTCATACATGCCCATATATCTTGAAAGCAGTTACATTTATTGTCGCACACAGAGAGAAACACAACAGACAAATCTGACTGCTTTTTATGCCTTTTCTTTCCACCAAAGTCAGCTGAAAGAAAATAAAAGGATTCCTAGATCTATTTGTTCAGATTATTAAAGAGAAGAAACTGTGAGCAGCCTTACTTACACAGCTGGCCCCATGCTTGGCTCCAGGAACAATGCAATCTCTGACTCTAATGCAAAGAACTTTGAAAGGCTGAGGCATGTAAGTAGAACATATTTCATGGTCAAGAGTGTTCCACATTTCAAGTATTTCAGCTCGGCTTTAAAAGCTCCCCTGAAAAACTACTGATTGCAAGGCAAAAACAAAACAAAACAAAAACCCAGTTGCTTGTAAACTGGCTGCTTATAACCCAATTTTAAGACAGGTAAAAACAAAATTTTTTAATTGTTTAGAAAATAAACTGTAATTTTAAATTCCGGAAAAGCAAATGCCGTACTGAAGCATTCATTCAAATTATTTTCTACTTATTTTTAACCCCTGGGAGCCCTCTAGTGTCCTGTTTGGAAACAGACTCAGAAGTGTCAGTCTCGGGGAGTTTAAAAGCATTGAGAGTGTTTGCTTAACAGCAGGATAAATACCTTATAAAATGAGGAATGCTATCACCCCACCCCGCAGTCCATCCCACTTAGCTGGGGATTATAGCACCAGGGTTCCCCGGGACTACCACTCACCTTACTAGCTTGGCCCTTTACAGAGGAACGTTTGTCTCCCACCACTTCTGAGAAGTCCTGGAGGTTCAAAAAAGGTGAGAAAGGGTTAAGGCAAATGAGGAAAAAAATAGAACAGCGAGATAAGGGTCCACATTGATAGGGAAAGACTTTTGGAGTGTGCAGTTGCATGGAGCAACAGTTCACAAAAAGAAGTCAAGGATTCTCTCTGATTGGAGGTTTTTTAAAAAACTGGTTAGTAATTGGCTTAGGTAGTTTGCTTGTCCTGGCACAAAGGCAGGGGTTGATGAATCTCCAGGCCTCACTTAGGCTTATTTTTTTTTTTTTTTTTTTTTTTT